GCCAGGCTCGAGAAGCTGGGGCTGGTTTGGCCCAGGAGCCCCCCCTCACACGGCTGGGGTGACATGCAGCTGCTGCAGCCGGAGCCCTGCTCGTCCCTGGCAGGCAGGGGACTCCTGCCCTCCCACCACCCAGCCTCCAGCCGTGCCATTCGCCTTCCTCAGCTGGCCCTGCCGGGCAGGCCAGGGTCCATGGGCACGTTGCCTGACTGGGTGGCCTCGGGCACAGAGCACGGTACCAGCTGCTGCAACACGGACACCCCGGCTGCGGGAGGGGGAAAGCCATCGAGTCCTCTGCCCCAGGGAGGCATGATGGGCACCTGCTTGCTCTAGCCCCAGTGGGCTGAGTGGTGCTGGGGCCAACGGGGAGCAGGTGGGGGGAGGCAGATTTCCCCCAGGTGGGTTGATGAGGGGGGAGGGCAGCCCTCCCCTCGCCCAGTTTCACCTCTGCCCTGGGCTGGACTGGGACAGGCTGCTGGGGGCTGCGCTGGACAAAGATGAACTCGCAACTCGGCGGCTCCACCTCCCACCAGGAGCCAGCTGCCGTTGTGCACCTGCCCCCTCCCGGCACCGAGCAAAGGCCCCTCGCAGGGCCTCGGGGAATGGCCAGGCGGAGCAGGGATGGGGGCTCGGGGGAGCATTTCATGCTAGTTTCAACACAGTTTTTTAACCCCATCTGTAAACTGGTTTGAAATCCCCCCGGACACCGGATCCTGCCATGCCCTGATTCCACCGTGCAGCTGCCACTGGTCCTCCAGCCACGTGCCCTAGCACTGCTCAGGCAGGCCCTGGGCCCAGTCCTCACCCCCTTCTCCCCCGGGCTGGTGGTTTGCCATAGCGAGGCGGGCTGGAGTCCAGCTCCGCGTGCTCCCCCCCACCAGCCGCTGCCAGGCCCGATGCTGCATTACTTTATTATTTTTCAATACACAATTACAAACACTGGACCCCAATGTGCAAAGTTAAAGCCTTCCGCCGAGTCGGGGGGTCGGTGCTGCAGGGGGAGAGGCCGGGACTCGCCAGTAGCTGCAGTGACAGAAAAAGGAGATTTAAACTCATTGGGCAGAAACAGAGTGAAGCTGCCCAGCCCCGCCGAGCCTGAGGGGGGGCTGCAGTACAGGGCTGCGCTGCAGAGGGGTGGCCAGGCCCCCATTCCAGCCTTGGGGGTCACTCCTGCCCCCCTGCCTAACCCCAGAGCAGCTGCAGCCCCAGAGGGATGTGCCCCTGCGGCGGGGCAGGCTGCAGGGGCCCAGGCGTGCAGCGGGCTGACACCCCAGGGGGGCTCTGCAGAGAGGGACAAGAGAGAGAAGTCCAGGCAGCTTCAGGCCAGGACCGGAGGGGAGGTGGCTTGGTCCAGGTTGGAGAGACCCTACTAACAAACAGCCTTGGGGGCAGGGTAAGACAGCCCCTGGGCATCAGAGGGTTAATAGCCGAGGCAAGGCTCAGCCTCTGTACAAGTTTATAAAATGCCTTCAAGCCCAGGGGCTACTGGTCCGGAGCCAGGCCGGGCTGTCAGCAGGATCCCTGCGGCTCCCGTCACTGCCCCGCTGCAGGGCCGGCCCCCCCGGCCTGTGCCCCCCTGCAGCACTAGCACCGGTGGGCGGGGGAGCCGTGTCCACGGAGGGCAGCAGCGGTGGGGTCTAGCGGAGGGGAGGTGGAGTGTGGGGGGGATGCAGGCTCCAGCCAGGCCCTGGCTGCCCGTGAAGATGCAGCAGGCGGGAGCAGGGGGCACTGCTCAGTGTTAAGTGCTGAAACGCTCCTGCCCCCCCGGCAGTGGGGGCCCCCCCGAGCTCTTTCCAGCCCCTGCTCTCTGTTCTGCCCAGTCCAGGGGGGCTGGTTCCCGGGGCCTTGCCCCAGGTGCTGGGGAGACCTGGCTGCAGTCCAGTCCGGGCCAGGTCCTGGCCAAAGGCGAGACGCTCTCGGCCGTAGTGCAAATCCGTCCCTGGGCGGCGTGGTCGGAGCGCTGTCCCGGCGCCGGGAGGGGACGGCTGGGCTACACGCGGCGGGCGGCGACCGGGGCAGGGACGTTGGGAGCTGTGCGCTGGCTGTTGCTTCGGAGCCCGTCGTCAGTATAGCCGCTTCTCGTAACTGGCGGGGAGAGGGAGAGGGAGAGGCAGGGTCAGTGCGGAGCCGACAGCGTCTGCCCCCCGGGCAGGGCTCTGAATTCGCCCGCGGTCACCCGGGCCGGTCGTCACCCCCGAGCCGGACCCGGGAGCTGGCTGAGAGGGCGAGGGGAACAGCTGCTGGCAGGACTCTGGGGCCAGGCCAACCCCTCCACACACCATGTCGATACCAGCTGGTGCCCTGACCCGCAGCTGGGCTGGCTGTGGCACCTCTGCCTCCCAGGAGCTAGGTTCACCCAGTCTCCAGCCCTGCATGGCACCAGCCTGGGACGAACAGACAGGACGCTGAACCAGACCTCCTCTGCGCGCCCCCTGCCCCCTCTCCCCCCCGGTGGGAGTGGCTGATGCTGGCGGGCTAAGCAGAGCCCCACGCAGAGGGATGGCAAAAGCCTGCGGAGCCCTGGCTCCCCATCAGGAAGCGCTCACGCCCTGGCCCGGCTTGGGGCTGGCACCTGCAGGGCTCGTGGTGGTGACTGGCTGCCCGCCTCGCAGGGGCAATGCCCAGCGCAGCCACTAGCCAGGCTCCCGCGAAGCGGCCTCACGTCACGAAGGATCCAAACGCGCTTTCCAGCCACAGCCGCACACAATAGGGTGACCAGACGTCCCGGTTTTATAGGAACAGTCCTGATATTCGGGGCAAATGTAGGTGTCTATTACCCCCACCCGCCATCCCGATTTTTCACACAGGGACTCCTCGTTGTTTTTGCCGATACAGACTAACACGGCTCCACTCTGAAAACTTTCTATCTGCTCACCCTAGCACACAAGCTCTACGCAGCTGGGCTCGCTGGAGTTACAGCAGCAGATAATTGGCCTAGGACTCGCTTCATCCACTATGGATGGCAGCCACCTCTGGGGTGGGCCAGGGCAGCTGGCTGACAGCTCACAGCAACCCTGCAGAACCGCTTAGGAGGAAGTGAAGGAGACTCTCATCCCCAGCTTCGGGGCAGCACCAGAAGCGGGAGGGTCACGCTCTACAGGAGGGTGGGCTGGTGGGGGTGGGGAGCTGGCTAACCATCGCGAGGGGGCAAGACTTTGACCACCTAATGGTGTGAAACCAACCAGTTTACCCCCAGGCCCTGCAGTAACCTTCCCCCAGGCGAGTGCTCCCCCCTCGTCTCACACAGCCCTGCTCGCCCCTCCCGTCCCACGTTTGGGGGGACGTAGTCAGAGACCGGCCCCACCACGTGCATGGGGGGCGGGAGTGATATTTGTTCACAGCTCAGAACCAGGCCTCATTCCAACCTCTGAGCAGCAGCTGGGAGAAGAGAGCGCTGAGACAGACCCCCCCGCTCCCTCCTTGAGGGAGAACAGCTCCGTCCTAAGCCACATTACCGGCTCCCCCAGAGCCCAGGGAGGCCAGGTGCAAAAAGCCAGCAAGGCCTGGCCTGTCACCCAGCAGAGGAGTTCAGAGCCCAGCCAGCACGAATGAAAGGATCCCACCCCTCACAGAACCACTGCCCACGTTACGGGGCTCACCCAGGGACCCAGCTGGGAAAAGAACCCAGGAGTCCTGGCTCATCATTCCCCTCAGCCTGCTACGCCTCAGAGCATCACACTCCTCGGCTATCGGACAGCTGGCCCCCCCTTCATCAGCTCGAGCGTGGGGCGCTGGCCCTGTAGCCCTCTTGGGGTCTGCCCTTGCAAGCTCTCTGCGGGGCTGGCAATGCTGGACACGCACGCTGGACCACGCTTCTGCAGAGGCGCCCGCCCGCCCAGAAGCAGGGCTGCCCAGCCCCCGCAAGCCGAGGAGAAAGCCAGTCAGCGTGCGGGGTGCATGGCCCCGCCGGGGCCAGGGACACA